AATAAGGCAGTCGATGGAAATGCGTAATTTATTGATAAGAATCTTATATAAGAAACTGATAAGATTTATATAAGAATCTTTAAGATTCTTATCAGAGTCTTATAGGATTCTTATATAAGAAATTGGTAAGATTTATGTAAGATTCTTATCAGAGTCCTATAGGATTCTTATATAAGAAATTGGTAAGATTTATGTAAGATTCTTATCAGAGTCTTATAGGATTCTTATATAAGATATTCGTAATTCAGCCGCTTTGAGCGTATAAAAGATTCTGATTCTTATACCAATGGAAGATGAATATATCTGGTCCGTCGATTACATGCAATCGAAAACTTTCTTATCCAATATCGCTCCCCATTTTCATCTGTGACGATTGCTTTCTTATGCAGAACTACTTTTATTCATAGAAACATGGGATAACAAAAAAACATCGTAGCTGTACATCAATTAATTAAAAATAATCACGATTCAATGCTCTGATGCACAGAAAAACAATTGCACTTTATGTATACAACTACTGTAAAATATGAACAAAGCACCAGTGTCTATACAAAAGAACAACTGACTAATCTAAGGGAAAAAATGATCATCATGATCATACAGATATAAAAATAGAAACGATCACACTCAGAAATCGGTAAAAACGCATCTGCGAGATTAAGAGAGAAAATCATAGTTTAGGTACTAAGTAAGAACGATAGCTTGAATAAGGCATGTAATAAGTTGAAAAATGGAAATAAAAAAAATTTTTAGTCATCATTTGACTCATCTTCACGTTGTTATGCCATTATTTTTTGTTTTTCTTTTCGCGTCCAACAATTTCTGTCGCAAAGATGGATAAATTTTTTGATTCCAAGTATCGGCGAATGTCGACGATTTCATTGGAAATTTGGCTTTCACAGCACCTAAAGTAAACAAATGAAGACCAGTGTGTAACATATGCCAGGCATGCTGATGTTTTTATCTTGTTTATTTCCTGTGAAACAAAGATAAGGGGCGTTACATTTTCAGGGCTGGTCTGATACTCCAGACTTTGCTGCAGTCAGAAAAATGTTTGGCTCAAGTAGTGTATTTTTTCTGAAAAAGATTGTCAGCAGAAGGAGCACGAAAAGCAGACGCTCACTTCAATATCAAATGACCGTATAAGTGACTGAACTAGAAATTTTGAAAAAAGAAAATAAATTGTTCACACTATATAATAAGACATTTATTTTTGTTTAACCTTTGCTAGGCAGAAAAAGATAATTTTCTTGAAAACTAGGAAGAAGGAAATATGGAGACAACCTACGTTTTATTGCATCGATTTTGTCTCTATCCAAGAGTAGATCACCTCTTCGCCTAGCAATACGACTTTGAGGCATTACACAAATTGCTTTCTCCTCGACAGTAAATAAATTATCCAGTAAATTTCTTGCGAATGATATTGATGATAAGCCAGGCACTTCCAACAGATTTTTGTTATCATACATCTGAAAAGAAGGAAACATGAGATAAAACTCTCATTTGCGACGATTGTTCTTACCACTGGTTCTTCTTCCATATCATTGTTGTTTGATCGTGACGCCTACATGATAAAAGCCGCAGCTAAGAAAGATCTCATATTAAAAGTCGAATTTCCACCGTTCCAAACGTTCTCAGCAGTCTGCTTTACTCCAGAACAAAAACTGTTTTCTATGGACATAGAAAGAATCATTTGTTAGCATACTGAGAACGTCTCCAATAGAGAGAATTAATCAAGAGCAATAACTTACAAATATCATTAGTGTTTTTCGTAGTTGAGTGATATCGCGGTGCAAATCTGTTTGGGGTCGTTTTTGAAGTAAACTAACTTCTTCATTTGATCTCGAACGACGATGATGACGATGTCGTTTGAACCTATGGTGACGATGACGTTTTTTTCTTGGTTGGTGATTATGCGGCGAACGATCTGCAAGTAAATTGGAGTGAAAACAACGTATCTCCTCTCCGCAGATCTTACCAGATGATAAAGATGGGTCTCTTCTATTACTAACTGCACGTTGAGATCTTAATGACGAACGTGGAGAAGATATACGATTGTGAAGCGTAGGTGGAATTGAACGATTTAATGAATCTTCTCTTGATGAATCATGTGAACGTCGTATTAATTGTAGTCGCGAATTGACTTGTGCTGGAGAGGGACTTGGTGATTGTTGTCTTGAAACTTCGTGACGCCGTGTCAATTGAGAACGTTGTACTGAACGATTTCTTGGATATTGATGAAGAGAGTATTGTTGGGACGAGCGTTGTGTTGATAAACAAGGTGAAGGTGGCTCACAGGTAGACAAATAACGGTTTGGATCTTGAAACGATGGTTCACACGAAGAAGATTCACGCACTCTTGATGGTGAACGAGACGAGCGATTTTCTTCAAATACGATTGTTGAAGCTAATATCGGTGATGTGTGACGCGGATGTGGAGAATCGGTTATTAACTGATCTCCGGTAGACATCAAATTCTCGATGGACGCTAAATAATGTGCCGTGTCTCGATGTTGATTTTTGTTATTTTTCCTTGTTTTCTTCACAAACACATTTTCATCGTCGTCTGAATACACGACTAGAAGAAGAAATTCAAACATTGCGATTTCAAGCTTTGACTAAAAACAGCAGTTTCGACTAGGCATGCATGGAGTCCGAGTCCTACTTGAGATACTCGGATTCGACTACTCGATACTCAATACCACTCGATTGTTCCTTAAATCTATTACGGAAATCAAAATATAAGACCGGTGGTCATTCTTTGAATAACTGTTGAACGAAAGTAGATGAAGACTCGCGGTTTTCGCTATGCGATAGGTAGGACTTAAGAGCATGTTTTCGTAAGCAGAAAATATTTAGAACTCTTTTTCAAAAACCGGTTTTCAAGGAGAACTCGGGAAAACCGTTTCCTAAGTGGGAAATTCGACATAGTAATAAATTGATTTTTCTCATGAATAGACAGACTAAAGTATCCTCCATAAAATAGAACCTAAGCGATAGCTTCATCTGCCATGGTTACGCAGGGGACAAGGCTTTCCTGGGAGCCCTGCGACTGCTCTTCATTTCAGTCAATAAATCTCAGCAATATATGGAGACATAAGTTTCGACTATGCTGAATCTCATGGCAATATTTGTTTTAAAAAAAGGAAGGATGTTTTAAAAAACTAGCGAAAACCAAGTTCCTCGAAAATTAGGGTTTCCCGCCTGTTTGCACCTATTATTAAAAAATTCACAATTCGCTCAAAAAACATTAGAGGTTAGAACATTAGGTTTTCTAGAAACCCTTTCGGAAAGCCATAGGGTTTTATAAATATTTGCTTGTTGATTTCTTATAAACAGAATATAAAACAGCCTAAATACTGTACATCCTGAGGTTTTGAACTCGTTCTAATGTTTTTTGAGCGAATTGTGAATTTTCTAATAATAGGTGCAAACAGGCGGGAAACCCTAATTTTCGAGGAACTTG